CTGCTCATGCAGCCCCCTGCCCGCACCGAGAGGACGGAAGGTGCAGATCCGCACCTACACCTGCCAAAGAATGTAGATGCAAAATTCTGTCACCTATGAAGTCCCCGGTGGACAACAAGAACTTACTTCCCTTGGCCAATGCTGAGTCACCCAGAGCCCCTGTGTGGAGGTCCTCCTTTCTGCCGGCCCTGGCGCAGACGGATGGTGGTCCACCCACGGGAAACTGCAGATGGGATGGTGGTCCTACACCCCAGACAACACACTGGGGAGTGCTGAAGAGGGGCAGAAAGAAGCCTCCCAGCTCAAGCCAGGGAGGGCTTCCTGGGGGAAGGGGCACCTGCGCTGGCCCTTGATGGTTGGAGATAGAGGGTCTGGACCAGAGGAGTGGGCAAGGAAGAGCCTTTCTGAGGGAACAAGGCATGTTACCCTGCCCCCAGTGCTGCAGTGGCAGGGAAAGGCCCTGGGGAGATGGGGCTAGAAGTCAAGTGAGGCGGCGTGGGTGTAGCTAAGAGGCTGGCTCTCACTGGGCTGTGAACACAAATCCTTAGGGTCTGAGCAGGAAGGAGCTCAGAATACTGAGCTGGGCGGCTATAGAGGGCCCCAGTGTGGGAGCTAGAATGCTTGAGGCCACGCTGTTTCTGTGGGGAGAGCTCTGTGACCTGGTTGGAAATCAGGTGTTCTCTGCAGGCCCCAGACTCTGTATTTGGAAAACAAGTAGTATATGCTGTACTTGCACTCTGTCTCCTCTGGAGTTGGTGTGAAGCGTGCAGGAGGAACTGCAGATAGCAATGTTGAAAACACACCTCCTATGATGGGGCTTGCAGCTTTCAAAGTGGTTTCTAATCTAGACTTTAGGAGTTAGTTCAGCCTGGCTGCTCACACAATAGGTCAGAATAACTAAGATTTTTCTGGTTTATCTATCTATTTTCTTGTTAACCTTTGCTTTGCCCCTCATTCAGAACAGACAACTAGAGCCCACAATGTTAATGTCCTGTGCTTCCAGAAAGCCAGCTTCTGATTCCCACTAACACCCACCTGTGGCCCAAGTCCATCCTGAGGCCTCAGAGAACCATGTCTTGGAAGTGTCAACACTGGTTGCACCAGTGAGGAAATGGAGTGTGAGTTTTGTGGCCAGGCCACACAGCTAGCAGATGGCACAGCCAGGGCTCAATTGCAGTCCCTCACTTCCACTTTTTCCACCCGGCCAACCGCCTGGCTTCTCAAAACAGACTTTCTAAGAAGCATGAACTGGCAATTGGGGCTGGCCCAGCACAGTGCAGGTCCCAGTCCAATGTGATGCCCACAGGATGGGCAGCACATGATAGGGCTTAGGACTCCTGAGAGGAAGCAACTGGTGACCACAGTCCTGCAGCCTAGAGGAAGGGAAGGGAGAGGGAGACTCGCCCTGGGGGTGGAGTGGGGGGAATGACCACACACAAAATTTCCAAAAGACTTATTTGTGACTCTCCCTAAGGACTACCCCATTCCTGGAGGGAAGAAGTAATTTCTAGGACCCAAAAGGGCCAGAGCCGGGGTCACTACTTCCCCAGAGGACTTGGATGGGCAGAGGGCTTGGCCAGGGGAAGCCTAGGAAGGGCCATGGGTGTGCAGAACGAGCTTGGCATCGAGCTCTGTCTTCCTGCTGGCGGGGTCTTTCCTCCTCTGACCTGGGGAGCCTGCAGTGCGGAGGGCGCATTGTTATGAACACTGCACAGCTCCCCCGGTTGGTGGATGGGAGGGAGGGTCTTATGCGTGCCACCTGCCTCATGGGCGAGCCGCTATTTGCTAAAACACAATCAATCCCCACCACACCGAGGTGAAACACTAAGGGCTTGCAACAGAACAGCAAGGGGAACAAAGCAAGGAAGTCCCCAGGGATTACCAAAAATAGACTTTGGGGCCAGGGTGTGGCATTCCATCAGACTCAAAAACACTTTTAAAGAGAACTATTCACAGGTTTTTCTTTGTGAGGGTCATTGTTTCTGTTGTTGTTTTGTTCTTTTTGTGCGCATATTATTATCTCTGCAGGTCTATTTAGATAAGATAGGCAGGATAAACTATCTGGAAGAGAAAACAACGGACTGATGGTTCAGGTGGGACATGGGAGAGGAGGTGGGGGAAAGGAGGTGGTGTTGACCAATCCAGGGACAAGGGAATAACAAGTGATCCAAAATTAGTGGCTTGGAGGGTGTGAGAGGCCTGGTAGGGATTGATCAAGGGCAATGTAACCAAGAATTACTGAAACCCAAATGAAGTCTGAGCATGATAGTGGGACAGGAGGAAAGTAAAAGGAAATAGAGGAAAGAGCTTGCAGGCAAAGGGCATTTATAGAGGTCTAAATAAAGGCGTGTACATACGTAAACATATTTATATATGAGGATGGGGAAATAGATCTATGTGCATATATTTATAGGTTTAGTATTAAGGTAACAGATGGACATTGGGCCTCCACT